GGGTTTTGGATTTGGGGTTTAGGGTGTAGGGTTTCGGGTCGAGGGTCTAGGGTTTGGCATTTTTGGGCTGGGGTTTTCGAGTTTAGGGTTTGATTAGGGTTTCGCAGAATACGGCACCCCTACGGACACCAGGGGAATTGGAAGCTTTTGGCAAGGAAGGTTCCTTGGTTACCCAAGGTAACCTTCCTGAGAGCAGGCGGAAGTTTAAAGAGGGTGGGAGCAATACTCCACTCATCAGGGTAATTTAGAATAACTTCAATTCCTAATTTAAGGCAATTTTGGTACTATTCCCTAGATAAACCATCATTTAGGGTGAGGTCGGGCGAGGGCGCTTTAAGTTGACCAGACTCATGTGGCTCATTAAGGGGGTTCCAGGACCTTTCTCACTACTAGCCTCCCTCCCATCAATCCCTGGAGCCCCCGAGACATCCGAAGGACATGTATCCTGCATACTCCAACTACCCCAAACCCTATATTCTTAAACCCTAAAAACCCCTAAACCCTGAACAATATGACTGAACCGTCATCTCAGGTTTATGACTCTCCTAAGGGTAGATAGGGTAGGACATGAAGAGGCGCATGCTGCAGCGTAATGTAGACCCATGATTTAAAACATTGGGGTAATGTTAAGGTTATATTGGGGATATATTGGGATAATGGAAAATAAAATGGAAACGACGGGTCTAGGGTTTAGGGTAGACCCGGGTAGACCCCTGATTAACAAACCCCCTGCTTTTAAGGGCCTTCATATTAGGATCCCTATTATAATCCCTGTTTAGGGGAGGGAGGTTAATCACGGGTCTACATTACCACTTTGTAGGTTCTGTCTAATGCACAAGGACCACAAGCACCTGGATTTTAAGTCTGGGTGTTTCGATCACTGACGGCTGATGGGGTCGAGGGTTTAGGGTTTAGGTTAATGATATGTACAACAAGCCCGTGTGTATGGGACCAAAATGCGAGCCGCACTGCACGCTTTGTGAGTGCGCGGACTCTTAACGCAAACCCCTGCTCCGAAAATTTGAAGCCCTGAACTCTTAAACCCTAAGCACTCTAAACAGCACAAGCTCATAATGTAGGAGCCCCTGCAATTAGAATAGATGCTTGGGTACACTTTTGCTAGAATTCTACCGTAAGGATTATCAGGAGAGAATATTGCAATTCTACATGTCTACATTACCTCAAGTATCAAAAGCTGAAGCCTACATCCTAAGCACTGCCTGTTTTTCACCTTAAGTGGACCCCAGACCCTGCAACGGTGGAATAATGGGAATATGTAAGAGGACTTTAATATAGTTAGTATATCCCCTATACTCACTTTTACTGGGTGGGTGGTCCGCCTAAGTTGCACACACCTCAAGGGCTCGGCATGTCCCAATAGATCCGGCGGACGGGTCGGAAAGGAGCAGGACTCAGGACAACACATCTGTTTGTATATGCAGATCTTATAAGTATATGGACTGCATAAACATATAAGTATATGCACATACATAGGAACTATAGGTATATGGCCTCTATGTGTATATCCATAGGTCTACATCTATGTGTATATTATGTACCCTTCTATTCTTTAAAGGCGCTAAGGGTGCCCCCCTCCCCCCTAAACCCTAAACCATAAACCTTCAGTACTGCCCCCCTCACTAACAGTTGGATAATAATCATAATATGGTTATATATAGCCCTTAATAGGACCCCTAATATAGACTGTTACTGGGGGGGGCAGTACCCAACATATACCCTAAACCCTAATCCCTTAACCTTAAAACCCTAAACCCTAAACCCTGAACCCTAAACCCTAAACCCTACACCTTGAACCCTAAATCCTAAACCCTAAACCCTGAACCCTAGTCCCATTTTGTGGCCCAAGACTCTCAGGAGTGCACCCGCCATCCAGGGTGCAGGACTCCATGACCATCTCGGGAGACCTGGTTTAAGGGTTTCAGCCACGCGGTTTAGGGGCCACGCGGTTTAGGGTTTAGGGCTTAGTGGTTTAAGGGGGTATATACCAGGGTTTGGAGGTTAAGGTGTAGGATTTTGGGTTTAAGGTTTAGGGTTTGGAGTTTAGGGTTTAGGGTTTAGGATTGTTTAGGGTTGAGGATTTACTCTAAACCCCGAACGCAAAACTCCCAAACCAGGCGTATCAGGGTTTGGGGTTTAGAGTCACCCCCTAAATCCCCAAACCCCCAGAACCCCAAACATTATTCTCAGCTTACAGGGCACCGATTTAAATTAGCGAGGTTGGATGGATAGGGCTTAGGGTTTTGATATGATTCGGGGTTCAGGGACTAGGGTTCAGGGTCGAGGTTGTGGGGTTTGGGGCTTAGGTAGGGTTCAGAGTGAGAGAAGTGGTGAAGACTTGCTGTCATGTAAGCGCAAGTCCTCACAAGTTTGCCAAGCCTCGTTTGAGAACAGATCAGTGTACGCTAGCATGCTTTACGGTCTTTCCGAAAGGACAGCCACACGTATGTGTGGATATGGAAGCAAGAAGATACGTATACATGTGTATAGATATATACGTATATGTAAAGATATATATATATATATACATGTGTATATGACTGCTCTCCAAGGTTCTTAAGAACCCTAAGGAACGGGACGTTAACGTCTCTTCGTGGGTGTAAAAACGTGGCATGTGGGAGCCCCCTACTTCAAGTAGCTTCATTGATGTAGTTTACCACAAAATATGTTTTCAATTTTAGGGTCTTACTCCAGCCAGCGCGACTCCTGAGGGTATTAAGCCACCTGTCTCCTGCTACTGCTGATACTAAAAATCCTGCATGACCTTAGTATACTATAGCACCATGAATCCCAAGGTTCAGGGTATTTAGGGTGATGATGCAGGATTTGTAGTATCCACCGTATGCTTTAGGGCGTAGGGGAAAACGTAACATCCCTCTGCTGTGGTTGCTGCGGCTTCTGGTCCGCAAATGGTTTAAGGTTTAGGGCCTTCAAATTATGGGAACAAACAAAAACCCTAACTCTGATGTATTGTCCCCCTGAAGTAGATAGAATATGGGGCATATGGGGGATCTTACAGTTTTCCCGAAGCCATCTTCTATCTACTTAAGGGGGACTACACATCCTGACCTTGATGTATACCTAAGCTAGGATCCCCAGTAACCACTTTGTAATAAGGGTACCTGTTTTCCTAATATTCAGCGTTCATACAGAGACCGCAAAACGAGAAGGGAAAAAGGTACTACTGGGGTACCTAGTAAGCGAGCAGCGCACTGGCCTGCCCAGCCTACTTTCAAGCAAGATGTGTGTAGGGTTGAGGGTTTATGGCTTAGGGCCTGCTTCGGAGGACCTAAAAACCGTCGGGCGTCTTCCACTGGGGATCTTAAATCCCATGATGATACCCATGACTAGGATCTCCAGAACGTAGAACGGAAAAGGTCCTCTTTTTAATATATTTTTCAAAAAGAGCTTAGGATCCCGAAAAGGAAAAAGAGGCTTACTCAAAACCCTGGCTATAAACCCTAAGCTATATCTCCTATAAACCCCATAAACCCCAACCCTGTTGATGAACCCTACTGTTGATGGAGGAAATCTTGCACCACCTTAGGTCCCTGAAGTCCGAGGAATTACA